GATCAAAGGATGCTCTGCTATTTTGGAACCTGACGATGTATTTAATCCTCCACGATTTACTAGCCCAATACGACCAAGCCTGGATCCTTGACCACCTAGTAGTGTACGCAGACGATTTTCACATGCGCTAGATTATCCAATCACCAGCAGATGGATTTCGCGCTATGCACGACCTGTCCTTCCTAATGAGGGTGTTTGGTGCTTATGGCCTGAAGATTAATCCTCATAAGAGCTTTGCTTTGCTTCGACTTGTTGGGAAGGCCCTTCCTTCGTTCCAGAAACGATGGATCAGTCGAACGGCCAATGGCCCAATGCTTCGAATGCCAGACATGGCTATCTCTGTGCCGCTGGTCGCCAAAACGTCCTACCTTGGTGTCATCATTTCATATCGGGCATGGGAAGCCGACACGACCAAATGCAGACTCACAGCTGCCCAAACTTGCTTTCGAATACTGCGTAGGTGGCTCCTAGACAAGCATCATCCAATGCAGACACGGATCAAATTATATTGTCAATGTGTTCTTCCGACGGTCCTCTATGGAGTGTTTGAGATGGGCCTCACACACCATGGATGTGGCACAATCATAGGAATGGTCAATAAACATCTCCGATCGATTGCACACGCACCGATTCATCTCACTCGAATCCCAACCCAGGAATTCTTCCACAGTCTTGGCTTGTCACCACCATGGCACATGCTTCAAAGACATTTTGATTGTTTAGTTCATTCATTGAGTCACCGACGGTCTCACCTTCAAATACAAAAGCATTCCTAGCCTTCTCTTCAACAAGGCCTTAATGAAGGAATTGTCCAATCACTGTGCCTACTGTCACAGTGCCATCACCGCTCGTTCGATCCGCCGGCACTACAGGGACTGCCATGCACAGTTGCTGCCTTTTGAACCTTTGTATAGAGACCAACTCTATGGACTAGCCAACCTTGGGAATGGGAAGGGCATTTGCATTCTGTGTGACCAGACATGCAACAATGTGCGCACCCATCAGTGTGGAATCCTCCTGCAATTGAGTATCATGCTTGGTCAAACATATGATGTCAGTCATTTTCCACTGATGCCAGTCATGATGAGAGGTGATCTTGATGACCGCATAGAGGACGAGGACGAACACCCTCAACAATTGCCACTAGTAGGGTCCCCTGTGGGTCCCGAAAAGGGCCTGGTTTGGGACCCACAGGCTGTCGAGGCCCCCCTAGCCACTGACTCAGGCACTGTTGATAGCCCTGACCATCATGCACCGTTGCCCTCACAGTCTAGCTCTAAAAGCCCGAGCTGTCTACATAAGTGCCCACAGTGTCACATGGCCTTTTTGACCCAAGCCGGACTTGACCAGCACATTCATCAAGAACACGCTACAGATTCGCGTCATGACCGCACACGTCCGGACCTTCGTAAGCATGGACGTCAGAAAACGATTCAACAGATGCTTCAAGCTCCTTTTCAGGAACCTCCTCATCCGCCACTAAAGCAGTATGAATGCCCTCTGTGTCAAGAGACAATAGGTCGTAAGGCCTTGTGGGTTCATTTGAAACGTGAACATCAAGCAACCAAGCAGGATGCCTTTGAGTTCGTTCCTGAACGTGACATGTTGCCCGGAAGCTTGACCTGTCGGCACTGCTTCAGCTCTTTCACCATGGAGCAGGCACTGGTCACTCATTTCAAACGTAGTTCTTGCCCTGTTCTCACCTGCGAGTGGGCTCGGAAGTTGCACTTTGCATCTCATGCCGAACCTTCACGATCAGCAGATGATCACATAGAACAATCATTGCCCGTCCTGCTGCACAGGTACTTCGATCAATACATCCCAGGCCTGATTGGCAGTGTTCAGATGGTTTCAACTCTGGACCTTATTGATTGCTGGTTCCCGCTGCTTTACATGCCGATTTCGTATCCCCAGCAGTATCTCCATTGGTTTAATTACACAGTCCAATGGCTTGCTCACTTGCCAGGTTTTTCAACATATTCATGAACTCCGTAATCAACGTCCTGTCTGTTGGGCCTGGACCCTGGATCGTGAGCTGAGCCCTGACATTCAATTTGATCGCATGTGCATCCATGACTCCTTTGTGGACCAGTTGCACCTTGTGAAAGACGTACTCATGTGCATTGCACAGATCCTGACCCGAAACCGTGCACTCCTGCAGTTGACCTTGCACCAAGATAGAACACCAGACAGGAGACGACCAATCGTTCTCGGACCTGCTCGAGGCATGCACAGATGGATTCCTCAAACGCCAGAAGACTGCTCCATCATCCGGTGGGCAGATGACGCATGGCCGGGAGCAGCGAAAAAGGAACTCCAGCTCCTCAACGAACACTTCGGATGGCCGGGACCACGACCTGCTCATGATGGTAGCTCGCTTGTCCCTCAGACAGGAGGACGTCCTAAACCAGATGAGTCTGGACAGCGGCCTGATGATGTTCCTCCAGTGCGGTCGCGGCTCTGTCATGCCAACCTTGTTCGAGACAGGCCGTCAATGGAACCGGCAACGATGTTCTTAACGATCTTCCAAGAGCTGATCAACCGAGCCAGCAAACTACAGTTGACCAAGAAGGACGATGCATTGGTTATGGGGTTGAAAACAAAGGGCATTTTGACCGACGACAACAAGTGGCATTACCTCACATGGAATGCGGAAGCCAAGGCCCTGCAACCGAATCAGAAGACTCCTCTGACATCGGAAGAGATTTGTGCCATGCTGCAACGAATCCACCAGCTGGGGCAGAATCCGAATCTGATCTTGAAGTTCGCCGCTCTTCGTTCGTTGAAGCCCGACAACCTTCCTCAGGACACGGCTGTGGCCATACCATGGAGGCTGGACATCAGCATGAGGGGTCAAGAAGCATTGGAGCTTCACACATTGCTGTTGAAGTTGGCCGGAAACGGCATTACTCAGCTTGTGTTGATGAGGATGAGACAATCCACGTTGCAGCGCTCACCGTTGGCCAATGCTATTTCCCAACAACTTCGCAGGTCATGAGGGGCATGATGACCACCAGCCTGCTGAATGATGGCAATTCATGTTACATCAACTCCGTTCTGCAAGCCCAATGCTGGACCAGTTTAATGACGTCAGCGCTCCGACCTGACACTTGGGGTTCATGGACACAGCCAATTTTGAGCATGTTTTCCACTCATGCAGGGGAGGCTGTTTTTCCATGTAGTAGCTCATGTTTAGCCGACCACCTTCGTGCCTGGTTTGCCACCCATCCATCATCTGCACAACACGATGCAGGTGAGTTTGCTGGCAGAATTCGAGGCCGGATGTTTGAAAAGGATCTCATGTCAGACAACACACTGTCCTTACATGCCTGGGACACACGTCTTGCCACCAGTACTGAAGACAGTGGCTCCCTTGCTGCACCCATTGTGCTCCGTGCGCTTCCTGAGGTTAACACCACCCTTCAGAAAGTACTACAACTCTGGCACAGGCAGGAACCGTTTCTCAATGCCCTGAGGTCTCAAAGTCCGTACGTGTGCCTTCAGTTGGAAAGGTATCCTGCCCTGAGGGTTCGACATGAACATGCCGTTTCATGGGAGCACAACCGGATCTCCATGCCGGTCTTCGATGGTATGTCACATAGCTCCGTGACCTGGCATGAGTTTCAGGTGATAGCAGGAATCCTTCACACAGGAACTGAGCCGACCTCTGGACACTATCGTGCTGTCCTCTTCAACTCTGGTAGTGGATTGCAATGTGATGACAATCGTCCCTGCCAACGACTGGTCAGAGATCGAACCTTTTACCAGGAAGTGTACATGCTATGGTTGGCTCCATGGTCCCAGACCTGCCAAGAGTTCCGCCTTCCTCTGCCGAACTTGCATTCGTTGCAGCAAGCCACCCTGGCAAAGCTAATTTCTTCCCACTTCGACTGAAAGCATTCTTGCATCTCGATGGCCAATGATGCTCCCTAGAAGCATCCATGTTCGCATGCGGCCCAACACGGGCGAGATCTGACACTCGCCGGCAGATGAATGAATGAATATATAAGTAATAACAATAATTAATCAAATTAAGTAATTTTTTTAGTTTTTTATAATAAATATCATTATTAATAATAATCATCAATGGAATCCCATATTTGAAATAAATATTGATATCTATTGCGTAGGCGATTAACGAGAGGGTCAAATCAGACCTGGAGATTGAATCGGATTGAAGATAGGGCGAAGGACAGACCTGGAGGTAGACTCCCGAACGCGGCTGCCCGCAGGGTAAGGCGGGCCGTGCCCCTGCCATCGACCTTATGTAGACATAGCGCAGACCCAGCGCGAGTATTCCCGCAGGACCACTGAGGAAAAGGATTTCAGGGGCGCAAGCACAAAAACGGGGGGGCCAGAAAATCTCAAATATCGGTGTTTTCCACTCTTGCGCAACATGGCATGCGCCAAAAACAACGAAACACATAGTGCTATTAGGAATTTTGCAAAGCAGTATGTTTCAACAACAATTATTATCGTAACATGCTCATAAGGGTACCCCCTTCCTTCAAGCTGGCTCAAGATGGACCCAAGGTGCGAGTTTCTGCCGCCCAAGTTGCCTAGCATGTTTTGCGTTTTCCAACAGCAACAACAACACCTCCACCACCAACAACATCACCAACAACACCACCAACACCACCACCACCACCACCACCACAACAACAACAACAAGAACAAGAACAAGAACACTAACAACACTAACAACACTAACAACACTAGCACTACTAACACGACTAACAACACTAACACTACTAACAACACTAACACTACTAACAACAC